ATGCTAGGAATGAAATTGTGCAAGCAATGATTATAATTAATTTAAATCAATTTTATTTAACGTAATTAAGCGATTTTTTTACTTAATTTTTTCCTGATTGGTGTTGATAATATGAACACATTATTTATAGTTATTTAATTATAATTACGGCAAGAACGATTAAAACATCGTGCACGAGACTTCTTGGAAATGTGCTTTATTCGCTATCTCTAATTGGCAATGATGACTTGGAATGCATGTTAGGCCTATTTTCTAGTCGGTGAGTTATTATTTGTTTCCCTCTCCCTAGTGGCCAAAGCATTGAAATTGACTTAAGATGGCGTAAAATTACCGCACTATCGCAATTACTACCTACGCCTTATTTCTGAAAGGGGCTATAAAAAGAATTAGTTGTATGATTTGAGCTTTAAGTACTTGGTAATCACTTTCGATCCAAATAGTGACAAGATATTTTCTAATTAAGGCGAATTTTATCTAAGATTATTATTTGATATATTTATTTAATATTGGAAATACCTTATGGAAGGCTAACTATGAAAAACAATTTTGTTATTTTTATGATGTATATTTTTTATTCTCCTCGTATTGCCGTTGTTGAATAAAATACAAATCAAAACATCAACAAATGATAATGTATAATGTTGTCATCAAATCCACTGATCCACTGGATGTGAATCAGTCAACCTAACCTATAATGTCGCCTTTAAAATAAGCCCCATCGAGTGCAATTGTGTCCATTTATAGGAAATATATTTTAATGCAATTTACATTTATAAATACATACATTATGTTTTATATATCTCAATTAAGAGATTGCACTTTATCTCGTATTCGGGTGGGACTTTAACAAATTATAAGCGAATTTCAAATACATGACTTACACGTGACTTAAGCCAGTATTGAAACTTAAGTTACGACTGTAAAATAAGCCCTTAATATCTTCTCTGATAAGCAAAAATAACTGAAATATTTGTGTGCCACTGACGGCAGGCTGATTTCGTGCGACATAAACTCTTTAGTATAACATGAGTCTTTAAGATAATTACAACAATGTAAGTAGTGAACAATCTAACAACGCATCTAACAGAACGTGTGTGTTCTGCATTATATGAACCAACCTCACCTGAGCCTCACCGGTCTAAGCACGGCTTCAAACAATTCCACATGAAATAAATAAAAAATAATTGCCGCGCTTGTAATTTGGTTAAATTAAGTGTAGCAGTTTGTCTGATAAGTAGAATACACACTTAAGAGGTACATAAATAATTATTTATCTTTTGGTTAAAGTGAGTATCTTAAAAATGTGCAATTTCGGTAGCTCAAAAGACCAAACACACTTGTCACATGGCCGAAAGACAAAGCAATCTTATCTACTTAATATGAGAAACTGACTGACATGCGGTGCAGAGGTTGAGCGTTCGTAAGCGCGGAGCACGGAGTGCAGAGCACAGGGAATGCCTGCCTCTTTGGAGAGGCTATAAGTACCTCACACGTTTTGAAATGGTTTGAAGACAAGACATTGAAAGGCCAATAAAAACAAAAACTTATATATACAATATAATATTACAAAGACAACCTGCTGAGCCAATAAAGTCAGTTAGTTCCAAGTGCCAAGCCGACGCAGGTAGGAAATTAAAGAATTAAATATAAAAATATTTTAAAAAGTTTAAAAAATTCGAGACTGGCTTTATGAGAATTCAGGAAAAAGGAGCACCTGTTGGGGTACATTAGTGAATCTGTTTCATATTTGTTACTAATTAATTAAGAACTCAAATATTTGAATTAAGTTAGTGGTCACATGAAATAATTAAATATAAAAATAATAATACTTGAATTTTGGTTTGTATTTGTTAGGTATTAATGCCCAAGAACCTAACAAAATATTCTTTCAAAATAAAAATTATGAAGTTAAATTTTAAATATTTTATATATTTCCAAAAATTTTGAACTTTTCCTTAGAATATTACTTTAAAGCTTCATTATTGATGGCTCGTATAATGGAATTTGACTCGTAGCAAATACAGAGTACTGGGCTTAATGAAGCGGAGCACTGCGATAACTTACTCTGATCGATCAAAAAGCATTCAAATGGTCAAATGAAACATTAAAAGGTTCACTAATATCAAACTGAAGTAACTGCTCTTGGCTCAGAAGTTTTTTCTTCCGAAATCAAAGCCAGACAGTTACAAAAAGTGTGATTAGAAGTCTAATTTCCTTTGCCAAGCAGATACAATATTCTGGCACCACATACAGACGAATCGTGTTAAAATGATAAGGCAAATTAAGAAGAAACATTTGAATTTAATTATCAGATTACTCCAAAATATTCAATTTCACAAAGCCTGTGATATTCAGTTTATTTAATACCAAATAATGTTGCTTCTTCTGCCTTGGCGTAACAGTTCTTCAAGGACTTAAACCTGTTCAGCGTACAGCCTCATTCTTCCCTATTTTTTGTCAAGACTACTTATTAGTTGAAAAATATGTTTTGCGTTTTAGAATATCTATAATGTTAATGCATCCTATATATAATATTATCCACATTAGCATAAAATTAAATATATCCAATAGTTTTACAGGAAGCTGCATTATCTAATGATATCTAGATTAAATTGGAATAGTTCCATTATGATTTCGTTTTAAATTATATTATAGTGAAATAATTACTTTTTTAAACAATGAATATTTTGATAGAAGTTAACCTTACTAACAGATTATTTCTTAACAAATTTCATGAATTAATATGGAAGTAATAAACATATTTTTGTTGATATGCTGTCAAACATTATGTTGCCTTTAACCCCCCTTAATCCTCAAATTATTTTGTTAATGATATTACTACAAAGACATTCATTTTATTATTCCACCAATAAAAAACGGTTAAAGCATGTTCTGATATAATAGTTTCAGAATAATCTGTCTCTTTTTCTATATTTGTTTCTCTTAGATATTTATAAAAAGAGCTAGTGAAACCATAAAATTGTTAACTGAAACAAAAACTTTAAGTTGGAAAGTGCTTTGATATAAAATAAATAAAACTTCAAGACTGCAATAAACATCAAGACTCCATTGTAGTTCGTCAGGAAGACCATTTAGATTGTGAAACTCCAATGACAAAGTGTTGAACTTCAGAAAAACTCGTGTGAAATACAACTCTGCTTTTATGCATAAAATTAACGTTTTTTGGTGCAAAACACAAAAAAATCAAAAAAAATAGAAAATAACAAAACGAGGGCAGACGGTACAATCTAAGTCTAAAGGAAAATAAATGGCTTCTAAATAAGTTGGGGGAAAAATATCATTTCAAGCAGGTCTTACGTCCAATTTATATACTCCCAAGTACACAACCACAAATGCACTTTTTGCGCAATTCATTGGAAAGTGCAAATTGTGCATTAAGTGTTGCCAGATAACAATCTGTGCAACTGTGCAAAAAACCATAACGTAATCGAACCTTAAGTAACTAGTAAAAGAGGAAAATGATTTAATGCAAAAAAACTGATAAAGCAATAACATCAACAAATTCTTCCATGAAAATATGATTGAAAATTTTTTAAAGTCTACACAATATATAATAAATTATTAAAATTAATTGCAAAATTGTTTTATAACAACCGGAAAAGGTCAGCAGACAGGCACTAACACACACACACGCACACACACACAAGTTCATCTGTATTAAAGCACTAAATTTAAGGCACTAGTCGATGCGCTATAAACTTAAAACGTAAGCGTTTGTGTTGTGCGTAGCTCTGCCCGCATATGATTATCCTACACACTTACATATAATATTCAAACAATAAAATTTATATACCACAATTGCGCTTATACATACACAAATGTACAAGTAATACTCGTATTATGTGCATCCCATCACAATAACGAAATCATAACTTAATGCTGTCACAAATTACTTAAATGCTTAAAACAATCAAAAATTTTATTTACTGTGCTCATTGGCACGCATTTTGACTATGTGTCCCCCACACAATCAATTTTTCTCCTCAATAACGGCTACAAAAACAATAAATACTGACTAACTGACTAAACAGTAATTGTTATATGGCTCGTTAGTGCAATTGTATGAAAATTTTAATAAAGGCTCAAGTGACGGCCGGCAGACATGTTAACTTGCCGACAGTGGGACAATTTACAGAAGTGATGCTGTAAATAATTGAGTTCATACGAATTTTACATATTATTGTCTTTATTTTGTGGGTGTCAAATAAACATTTTTGAAAATAATTTGAATATAATGAAATGGCGGCATTTGTTAGCACTTGTTTTTAATTTAGGTTTATGGTTAACATTGTTTATTATGGTTTATTTAACATTAAAGCTGCAATAGCAGTAATTAAATTTATAAAAAATTTAATTAATTAAATAATAACAGTAGAAATAACAAAGTGATTGGATATTGATATCAATCAATCAAAAAAAATATTTAAAATTAATATATAAATTAGTTTATTTTATAACAAAAAAAACCTCAGGAAGTTTTTCGCTTCCCAAAGGAGCCTTTAGAAATTTTAAATGGAAACTAGAACCAAAGCGTAATTGCCCGCCCCAAGGGAATTTAAGTAACGCAGTGGTTAAATTCAAAAATTCAATTGTATTATATTATACATAAGTAATTATTTTGACGGAAGAAACTATTTTTTCTATTAAGATAGATATATTTTGGAACTTAAGAATAAAATATGAAGTTTATCAAATTGTATTTCATAGAGATATATATACATAATATGAATTTTTATAGTATTCTAAAAAATTTAAATCATAAGGCGTATTATCTGAATTTAGTACTCAAGTCCCCAGAGAACAATTCCCAGTTAATTTTAACATTTTTATTAAAATTGAATTCAGACTTTTAATTTCAGTCAGTTTTGAACCCACTTAGAAGACTATGGAATTAAAAACTGGTTTTACGTGAAAATCTCTCAGTTCAAATTTACCGTCGGTTCTACAATTTTGCTTTATAACAAACTTTTGACACTTACCTCCACCACCGAATCCTTGTCCTGGAAATAAACCGGGTGGTCCGAAAGGTGGCAGTTGCCGCGCGCCCGGCCATGGCACTCCACCTCCCATGCCGCCCCATGCAACAGCTGCCGCAGCCAAAGCACTAAATGGTGTTGGTCTAATAGGCACATGGCCACTTGCCGCTAGCGCTGCCGGTGATAGTATATGCGGTGAAGATGGCATTGATGGGTGTCCGTCTGGCGTTTTACTACTATCCAAGCCATCGGGTGTGGAACGCGGCGACTCTTCAGCATTCATATCTTCAATATCAACAATGGAGTCCTCTTCTTCGTCATGCTCTCCGTCATGTTCATTGATGTCTTCATCATAGTCCAACTCGGAGTCAATCGAACTGCCAATTGGCGAATTCCGTTCATTTTTTGTTATCGCTGACAGCGGTGTCGACATATTGGCCGCACTTATCATGCTATGTGCAGGTGTAGTAGCTGGTGTGGAGACAGATGTGGGTGGCGTCGTTGCACCAGACACTATGGGGCCCAAGTTGCGTGGCGATAGATTCTGATTGCGTATGTTGGTGTTGCTGTTGGCGACGGCGACTTGTTGCGCAGCTGCAACCGCAGCTACTGCAGCGGCAGCAGCTTGTTGTTGTTGCGCGTGATGTGCTGCTGCCGCGGCATGCAGTAGATGTGCGTGATGCGCTACAGTGGCAGGATGGAAATGCGTGTGATGATGTGTTGAAGGTGGCGTTGCTGGTGAGGAGCCTTGCGACGTTGGTGATGTGGTCGCTGATGGTGTTGAACTAGAGAGATTTGTTGGTGCCATTTGACTGTTGGTGTCTGTTATTTGTACGGGTGAACGCGGCCTGGTGTCCGCTAATAAGGAAGCCACACTGAAGTTGCTTAAGCGTGAACTAGATTTATGTAGCTGGTGGTGCGGCTGCAATTGCTGCTGCAGATGTTGCTGATGTGCCAGAAGAAGTGCGGATGGTGATGTGGGACTACTGGCACTGCCTGGACTTACGACTACTGTTGTGGTACTGGTCATTGCTATTGCTGTTTGCGGTGGTACCGTCGGGCTTGTCATACTTGTGCGTAAACCAGTGACAGTCATTCCTGATGACAGTTTTAACATAAATGCTGCGTTTAGTGGAGTGATAAATTTTCCAAAAAAATAGTTTCAATTCCTACTTTTGTTGTTAACTGCGATTCGTCGCTTATTTTTTTTTATTTTTTCTTTTATTATTAATTTTTTAGGGCCGTTATTTGGAATTTATTTTTAAACAATATTAACGTGTCACACATCGCGTCGATGATTTGAGTCACTTTTTAATTTGAATTGAATTGACACATTAATTACATAAATTGAAATGTGTATGCAATTAATTTGATTACTTAATCTTCAAGACTTTGATTAAAATTTATTTATAAAAGCAATTCATATTCCACTGGTTGCTGCATTAATTAATAAAATCATTAATTTGTTTGTGATTATTTCAATAGATTAATTGCTTTATTATAGTACAACTTTTTGTCTTGAGTACACAGAGAGAATATATTTTAACCGAAGCGCACAACAAATTAAAACACGTCCTCTTGAGATCACGACTGGTCTACAACTAAACACACATAGCCGGGGCTGAAAGTCTCAGCGCACTCATGTACGTGCTGTGAACTGAAAATCACTTAGTGTTGGTGCACTCTTTTTTCTTTGGTTTGGTTTTTTTTGCGCTTTTGACTGCTGTTGGTGGTTGCTGTCGAACCAGTTGCATAGCGGATCGCAGTAAGACAGAAAGAGCAATACATCGCGTGGTCTGCTTTACCTCATATGCGGCGCATAGCATGAAACACCATTTTAATAAATAATTGGTTTAGGTGTGTGTTAAGAATTTTTTGAAATTTATTTTTTCCTAGACGGTGTGCCCATGTGTGTATGGTTTGTGAGATAGCTCAAAATTTCTCCTGCACTATTGAAATACAGAAAAAATTGGTGTACGCCCAATTTTTTCTTTTCTCACTCTCACCACAAAAGTCTTGTGGTGAGTTTCCAACATATTATGTATTCAAACAAATTAGGAGAAATTCCAACAATGATAATTATTCATATTCATATGCGAAGCCCTGCTGCACATCAGTTCTTATTTTATTTTATGCTTTTATATTATGTAAAGGTGAATATGGTATATATGGCAAAATACTAATTTACCAGAAAATGTTTGTGCAGCAGTGGACTTAGAAGAATTCACAATAAATGAATAAAATTTATTTATTTTGAAAGTTTATCAGACTCATGCGTCTGCTATACTCAATTATTAAAATCTTTGTTTTTTGTTTTTGTTATTTATCTAATTAGTCAATTTGGTTGATCATTATTCGGATTTAAAATTTATATCTCAAGCAAATTGAATTATTATTAAATTCATTTAAAATGAAATATTTTTATTTTTTACCCGTACGAAAAATTAAAAATGCAAATGGTAAATTATTTGACTATTTGAAAGAATATTTTCAATGAAAAAAATCGACCTATGTATATATTATAAAAATTAAAAATTGAATAATAATAATAAATAATAACAATAAATATTTTTGTAAAGTGGACGGCTATTTGAATACAGGATTTTTTTGATATACGAATAATAATATTAATGGTTCTTTATTTATGTAGGCATTTAGGCATACTATTTCTGCACTTGAATTTTAAAGGTATTATAATGTATATGAGACCCTCCCTCAAGGTCTCAAGTTAATAATATAGAATATTAGCCAAAATTTTAATATATAACACATGAAAGTAATGCTAATGCATAATATATCCTAAACGTTAAAGATAAATCAGAGATCTGTTAGTTAACACAAAATTTAGAGAATAAATGTTCTTCAACTCCATCTTTAAAATACTCCTGGAATATGTTTTGACTTCTGACTGCGTCAATGTTTTCATTTGGTAATCTACTACGCAGTGGTTTTATGCCTTTCTACAACAGAAACCTATCTGTACCATAAGAAAAGTTTATATACAAACAGATCGAGGACATCTATCAAATTTTTCCCTATCAAATTTTTTGAAACATATACTTACCCCTTTAAAAATGAAATTATATACATATATATAGTTCTTATATATATATATATATATATATATTTATCATCATAGGTAAAAAGAGTAGAGTAACAAATTGAAACATTGACGTAATCACAATGTTTCAATTGTGATTGTATATATATATTTTGCATTCGACTATTATTATAAAACCAATTTAATGGTTCTAAGTTTTCATTTATATATGTGTATATTGCAAATTAATAAGGAATAATATAATTAAAGAAACAATGAAAAACCATTTGTCTATCTACTATCCATATATTTACAGATGCTTTCTCTGGCTTCTCAATTGATTCCTATTATATATAATAAGCCCCTTATTGCGCCAGGAATTCGGAAATGTTTTAAATTTTTTTTTTTATTTCTTAGGTCATTAGTTATATTATACTGCCGTTCCCGGGAACTATTCTTTCATATTCAAGAAAATTATTTTTATCATCTCGGTTAAGAGTTTGGATTAACTATGACAAATAAAAATGGAAATATATACCAGAGTAATTAATTTTAATTAATAATTCGTATTTAACAAATTTATTTAAGATATTAAATATTTAAATAATTATAAATAAATTATCCTGAAATTTTTTTGGAGTGAGTAAGTAAAACAATTGATAAAACTTTGGAGAAATATTTATTGCCTTTAAAGTCTCCGACTGTTAAATGTTCGTATCTTTCCATTTACTTCCATTTTGGTTAATTATTATTTACTTATTTACTTATTTTTAATTAACTTATTTTCGTACTGCAGTTATTCGTCTTTCTTTGCTTTTCAATTAAGGCAATTAAGTGAAAAAGTTCGCAGCAAAAAAGCAGAAACGATGGTTAACAATTAATTAATCCGCTTCTAAACAGTTTTATTGTTATTGTTTGTGTAATGATTTGGACAAAACGCTTAACTCAAATGAGCTAAATGAGTTAGTACGCCAACGCGGTCATAAAGCATGGAGGAAGCGAGAAGTATCTTTGAAACACCGCCGCTGAGCAGAGTCGGAGTCCGGCTGAACAGAGCCGCCAAACGAGGTGCGAGCATGATAAATGGTCACGCATTTGAATGCGAGTATGTAAATATTGAGATAGTTTCACTTACATAAACCGTTTACGGGCGTTTACGCCGCACTTCTCTAATAAAATTAGTGAAAATAGTCGTAACCTTTGAGATACTGGCTTGTTGGCTCGCTGGCGAATGGCGTTAAAGTTGTGCGATTGCTCGTAGGTGGCAAGAAAATTCTATGGCGTTTGGGAAATAAAATCGCTCGTTTAGAAAGGCACTTCCACACGTTCACTCCGTTTGCTCCGTTACGTTTACATAACAAATCAGCCGGTCGGAGGGCTGAGGAGGGGGAAGTGTGAATAGTTAGATAGCAAATTAATTGGCACGAAAATGATGGCAAAGTTGGTAAACTTTCTAAACTTAATTAATTCGTATTAATTGATTTCGGCGGCATTTTTGTTATAGAAATTCCATGAAATTTCAGCTTTTAAATTTTTTCCTAAAACGTTGCGATGGATTAATGATAATATCTGCTTTACCGGAAGATCTATGGATTATATCTTTATCTATGGATCTTTGGCTATATTTGTTCAAATCCAATAATTATTAATTTATTGTATATATAGTTATGTAACACTCTTGGCGATCCAACTAGGCAGAGGAGATAGTCATCAAATGGTGTAAGGCTGTTAACGATGAAATATATATTGCTATTTTCGAATAACAGCAGAGAGTTTCTGGTATAATCAGCTGCTACGCTTTGCAGTATGAATTTTAAGTTGAATTTTAGGTTATCTTCACATTTTTAAAAGACACTAATTTTATTGTTAAATAAGCAGTTATTCCTATGGATCCTCTATAAGTTTTTGTACAAGTCTTTGTGTTGATGGAATCAAGTTGGAGTCAGTAGAACGTTACCTCTACTTCTACTCTACTGCTAAAAAATATAACCAATACTATAGAGATACACAACTTAAAGGTAACGAAATAACTGCCAACCTTGCGGAGAGTGCTTTACCTTCATAAGCTTTTTTGCGGGTATCTACTTGTTAACCTGCATCAGTGCTTCGACCTTCAAATAAAAATTGTCTTCAATTTCATGGAATAGTTTATAACCCCTAAGATAATTCAATTAGCTCAGTTGGATCAACAACAAAAATGGTTACGGATTGTTCAGTATGTTATACTGAAATGTGATTCAACTCTAGATTAAACACTAATTTCTTAACTGAAAGCACTTATGTTAAATACTATCTCACAAAAATGGGATTAAAAGGCAATAATATCTGTAAATTTTATGTAATCTAAAAGTGTGGAGAGAATCATTCGCCCATCTTATTGGCTTTTATCCTACTATTGTCATGAAGTAGAGCCAGGAAGCAGAGCTTCGAACTATATTGTTGGATTTATCAATAGGTTTAATAATAGGACTTAGATTTTTATACAAGTTTTAGTTTACCACTTCGTGGCTCTCTTACAAACACATTGCACATTTCAACTTTTTAATGATAATAATAAATATAAATAGTAAATGAATTTTAAACTTCATTAAAGTCAAAAAGAAAATTAGAAAGCCCCAAATTTTTGTATTATGGTTTTTTGAGATAAGTAATTTTGAAAAATACACTTGCACCGGCTATAACTTTTTCCAAATTTATTTAGCATCCAATAAGTACATACGAATAACGACTATATTATTTAAATTTATCCTCTTTCCTATGCACATATGGGTACAACATCCTGACGTTGTATTATATCAGAGTCGACCAAATGATCGTCGATCATCAGATTTGTTGTTGCTGTTCTTAATGCTCTCAAACTATACGCTGACGATACGTGTATGCTGTACTCGGATAAATGTGCTCTCAACATCACCAACACACTTCAAGAGCATATAAACCTCATCCAGAAATATAAAGTATTTCCAGAAGTGGAAAAAAAAAATCTTTAATCAAACACTGAAGCTCAGTTCATTACGCGTAAGAGAAGGTAGAATCCGTCGAAAGTGAGAGTGAGAGATATGGCAATAAACTGGGAGGATAGCATTAAATATGTAGGCATCACGGTGGACAAATGATTCACATGGTTTAAACATGTTCAACTAAAAACAATTAGCTGCGCTAAAATTCTTCATCACCTCCAACCGATATTTAAAAATGGAAATCCCAATGCTAAGAACAGGAAGGTGATATAAAACCAAATAATTAGACCGACACTTCTCTATGGGTGTGTAATATTAACACCGCGTTATCGAATCTCAGATTGTTTACAGGCTTCTCGGGGAGATATGCAGATCTGAGGTCAGTTATTGC